ACAAGAAACACAGTTCACATTAGCAATGAACTGCTGTATAATATTCCCCAGTGTTTTTCCCACATTCCACAAAAAATACAAGAGGAGCACTAGGAAATATTAAACATTTTCTGCAAAGTACGAAAGCAAGTCTTTGCCCCTATTTTTTTTTTCAGCCACAATAATACACATACAGGAAAATCAAAATACAGGCAGTGTTGTAAGTATCTCTGACTATTTTTCCACAGTCACCTGGGGATTCTCATGGACGATGTGGTTCTCCTCCATGACAACACCAGGCTTCATGTGGCAAACAGGACCACTGCCCGACTGCAGTCATTCGGATGGGAGATTATGGAGCATGCACTGTATAGTCTAGACCTCACACGTGTTCAGTCCACCAAAGAAGTTCCTGGCAGGCCAGAGGTTCATTTCTGACAACGCAAAAACCGCTGTCTGGCGGTCGTTCTGCGCTCAACTGGCCAAATTCTACAACAGTGACATCTTCAAATTAGTGGTGCGATGGGACAAATGCCTGAACCGGGGTGGTGACTATGTGGAAAAATAGTCAAGGGTACTTAAAACACTGCCTGTATTTTGATTTCTCTGTATTTGTATTATTGTGGCTGAAAAAAAATTGGGGCAAAGATTTTTTGATTTGCCCTCGTATATACTGTCGTGGTCCTGCGGAATCACCATAGGTTTATCTATTCACTTGTAAACTTGCAACTTTGAGAGAAATCAGTAACAGAAGTCACTGACACACGAAGAAAGGTAACAGTGTATGTTTCCCTTTATAATATCCATGTGTTCCTACAATTTACTCTTAGTTTCTGGCAACAAAACACAGCAGAGTGGGTTCATCTTCTGTACCATGCCACCAGCATGCTGGCAAACCAGAGCAACAAGGGAGGAGAGACGGTCCACAACTGAAAGAGGAATATTAACAGTATAATGGAGTGCATGTAATCCACTCTCTTTACCTCCTCTTCATAGATTCTTCCTTAACTCATCAACTTTTCACAAAATTACCTTATATTATGACAAAATAAAATGACATAGTGAGTGCTTTTGTACTCTCCATCTGAAATTAGCAACAGACAAATAACANGGAGGAATATAAAAAAGGAAAAGAAACGTAGTCTCAGGATATGAAAGAGCACTTGTGAACTCAACATACAAATGCTGGTTAACAATTCATTTTGAAAAGGGATTCTAGAACTGTAGTTGGGTACTAACACATCTGATTCAGGACTTTCAAAACAATCATATATAAATTTATATATATATTTATATGTATATACATATCTAAAAAAATACATTCTTGTAATCAAGAAAAAACATGGACAAGAGTTCCTAAATTATCAACTCTACATGTACATATATACATACTCATCCATTTAGCATTAGTGGAGGGGCAGGCGACAAAAATCAACAAGTATACATATGGAAGGTAAACCACTGGTACGATGTTACCATTTAGTGGGGCAATTATCAGAGAGAACTTCCCATAATATTATGCTGTGTGATATAGATAAGTATGGCAGGAGACAATACATAAAGAAATTTATAATGAGTCCATGCCTGTGTTCCATCCTGGGGCAGTGATTCTCCATTACTTTGACTAAACTGAAGGTCCACTACAGGTGCTGGTGGAAGTACATAAACATCAGATTAGCTGCACATTATATTTTTCTTACAATTCACACCTGCTGAACTAGAAGTATTTATATTGTACATGAAATATTTTTGCATCACCCCCATAAAGAAACAACTTGTGAATGCCCTTGGGAACTAAGGCAGCAAACTTTCCTGCAGAAAGGCTTACATGCTACAATATTTACTCCCAGTATATACTGCAAATATTACAGAAGCTGTCATTACTCTCACAGAACAATCACACATTGGTTTTCTATTTTACTATGGCATTTGTAGTCCAGAACTTAATCAGAAGCACACAGGTGTCAAGAAATTTTGAGTACATTGTACAGAATATTAATCACAAATTTGTTATGCAAAGTAAAGTTTCTGTCTTGGCAAGAAATCACCTTCATTTTGCATACGATACATTACTGTTGTATCTACACATTACAAGAAATATCCACTTCTTAGACTTGTAAAATAATAAGAGAAGATTATCAAAACTTATGTGACACTAAGAAAGAGATGGCCACTTCACAACTAAGGGAACAAAGTAAAAGAAAGGATGGGTAATCTCATCTATATTCTTCTATGCTCTTATATTTGTAATATTAATATTTAACTCATCTAAATTCACGGCTACAATTTCTGAGTGACACAGTGTGGACAGACATGGACATACACAAACTAATATTATCAGTATGTAAGATTTGAGGCTTTCACGGGGGTGACTATGAAGAAAGCAGTCTTCTGGGATTTGGCACCATGTATATGTGGTGTTAACCGACGTTTCGGAGGAACGTATCACCTACGGTTCTCACGGTCTCTTCGCTTGCAGATTTCTTATATTTTTTCTTCTACCCTGAAGATGGAGGCGATACATTCCTCAGAAACGACGTTAACACCACATATACACGGTGCCAAATCCCAGAAGACTACTTTCTTAATATTATCAGTACTTACTGCCTCGTTTTAGATATATGTCCAATGTATTAAAATTCTCAGCTAACAGACTAGATCCACAGTACCATTCGCAACAAACGTTTTTGAACTTCCAATAACCTTAAGACTTGGCCATGGAATCATAAAAATTACAAATTAGATTTTTACGTAATTAACATAGGTCATAAGACATCCAAAACTCACATTATGAAAATAGAATCAAATTACAAGTAATGTTGATAATCTTGATAATACTAATGCTTCCACATTTCTGCCCAAGTAGCAGTGATGTCAGTTCAAGAAACTTACTTTGCATTACAATTTGCTCTGTTCTTTTAATTTCATTCTGAACTTCCTTCTTAAAAAAAAATAGATCCAGTGTCGTTACATTTTGCATGTCATTTCACATAAAATGCAAAGACAAAATACTACGATAAATGCACCGATTCATGCTCATATAAACTGTGGTGATTTATAGTTATCTAAAGATGTCTGATGAACATATATTACTCCCTTTTTCCTGTACCATTTTCCCGCTTTAGCTCAACAGCAACTGAAAAGATCTTGGTAATGGATGAGTCATGAACTATAACAAAACATTTTCACCTTCCATTCAATGTGTTAACACCTTCCTCTGCATGCTTAAATTTGGAAAAGTGGAAATGATGTTTAGATAATAACCCCCCTTCCAAAGCCAATACAAGAATATGTTCCTATGGAGTAAGAAATTTGTAAGAACATAGAAGCATTATATATTACCGATTCATTGCGTTCATACAAGAAAACGATATAAATTTCAACACTTAATTAGAATTAAAACTCACAAACACTTCTTTCATACAAAAGAACATCCATTCCCACAAAAAATCTGTTCAGTAAGACTAACAAAAGTTTCAGTTTGTTTCAATTATACCTCCCAATTTATATTCTGACTTCATTTCTTGTAACAAATGAATAAATAAATGATTTTGCATTACTGCAAATATTTCATTCAGGTCCATATGCATCTTGAGATGTGACCTACTCAGACTGAACTGGTCTAAATAGAAAGTGTTAATTACTGACCGCATAACTATGTATTTTTGTGATTATTAACTTAAATGACGCCTCTGTGTACAATTAAGGTGAACACGGAAGGGAATGTATATAGCTAGAGCTTCTCTATAATAAATTTACAAAAGGGAAAAGCCACATTTATTTCTCTGTTTCAGAATTAAAAGTAAATGCCATTCTTAAAATGTACCCCACAGAAACAAAATAACACACTATTTAAGCCAATGTTTTACAGTGTATAACCTGGTTGTTTGAGACCAAATTTAGATCAGAAAACTAGAAAATTGAAAGAATTTTTAATCCTTTTGTTGTAAATTACTGAATACAACCATCGGGTACTGTGCATCAAGAATGTAAAATTTTCTGTGCAAAGTTCTTGATTGAAGGAAGCAGCTTGAATTTGGCACTGTCTTCCTTACAGGGGAACACAGCATCTTCAGCCCTAGTTCTGCTGGTACCCAACACTGATAATAATATTCCATACCGAGAGGATCAACCATGTAACTGTTTACTACTAACGCATAGTTACATTAACACACCCGTGGCTCCTGTGAACCAGAACTATATATATAAAGATTTTGTGGCCTGACAGAGTGACCGCCGCTTATTGGCGAAGTTAGTGCCAACTTTTGCAGATAGAGGGTGTCACGTGGTCAGCGCAACAGATCCCAATGACCATTAATCCCAGTTTTCCAGACCGGAGCCGCTATCTCCTTGAAATAGCTCCTCAATTATCCTCACAAGGCTGAGTGGACCCCGTTCCAGACCCATTACCTTCTCAGAAAATTTCGTAGTGCTGGGAATTGAACCCGGGACCTCTGGATCTGTAAGCAGGAACTCTGACCATAAGACCATAGAGGAGGTCCCCAGAACTAGGAAATTAAATTAAGACATTCAGATTTTGTTGTTTGTGTGTGTCTGAGAGTAACATCAGATTCACATAATGTCTGCGGCTAAGATTACACATGTAAACATGTGTAATGTATAGAAGTTAAATGAAGTGGTTTCTCATTACAGCAACATTACCATAGTTCTCTCCATGAATCTCCTGATGGTGCACATTCAACAATTCTAGTCTTGACAGGTCATAAGTCATACAATAAAAAACACTGTTATAGTACTGTAGCAAATAAAAATGTTTTTAACAAAGGGTAATATTATGCAAATAAAATAATAGTGCATAACGGATGACTAAAACTTAAGAAAATTACGTCTATAACCTTGATCTGTCATGGCCAGTTTCACAGAATCCATTCCAAATTCACAACTGATAACAGAGGGTTGCAACACCAATTCCACCTGTTGCACCCTTATGCCTCAATCTGAAAATAACTTTTTCTCATCATGGACAAAGACATTTTCCTTATGGTTGGCATTTATTTTCATCATTTCAGCCATACTGCCAGCCAAAAACTGGCATACAGTAACAAAAAGTAAGTTCAGAGTGATAAAGAAAGTGTACTTCCATTACTTAACAACACAAAGGAACTTATTTATAAAAGTGACACCAGCCGCTGTACAGAGGTCCTGAGTTCTGCAACACTTCACCCTGCTGCAGCTTATCCAACAAGGAGGTTCTTCTATGATGTGTCCCTGGAATCAAACAGGCAATATCATGTACAGCATTCATCCACGTCTGCTTTCCTGCCTGGTCAGGGTGAAGGAACCAACACCAATGTGGTGGAAGCACCCACAGGCCAGAATTCTATTTGCTCCTGATGAGACAGAGATGAAATTTGACATCCAAACCATGCTCGTGCTGTGAAGACAGACAGGTAAAGGGTGTGGGAAAATCTCAAACACGAGATCAATAAAACTTTTCCAGAAAAAATGCACCTAGATCAAAGGTCTGACAGGTGAACTCCATGATTGCAAGGAGTAAGGATTATCTGTTTTTTAATACACTTCTCTTTTATTTTGCTTGAATATGAAAGGTCAAATAGACAATCCTTCTTTAAATTTTACATTCAATTTTTACTTTTAAAAATACATAGCTTTAGTAAGGATGCTTCTGTAGAATACAGAGGTACATTCATTCGTTATGGTCTTATACTGTCTGTTGGTAGAGTGGGATGCTAGCTAGAGGGCAGTTTCTTCCCAACAAAATGGTAATGTGATACCACACAGAACTGGAGGTTCCAACTATCTTTGATTAATGTTTTCAGCAAAGTCACTTTACTTATCTGATATTATGATAGCCATTTAAAACGGTGTCATCTGAAATCCAAGCACATTCCCACAAACAAAAATTACACATTCAGATCTGGGCAAATAAGCAACATAAGTCATGCCGTGACACAAACGGTTGCACAAAGTGGAAGAAAAAAAAACATACAGTACATTTCTATGCGCTACTGCATGTTTGTTTGGCGATCAGTCGGCTGTGAGCATTCTTTATCTGTGATGTGCAACCCACAGTGTGTTACAGTACTGAACACTTTTACTAAGAATTAATTATGAATAATTTGAGCAGTACTACACACGGGCAAATATCACAAAAATTCAATCCTATGTGATGTTCCCCACAAATGAATGATCAAAAGAGGACTATGACCATCACATTCCTTAGTTCTGAATATGTTTCGTTTGTGGAGAAACTTGAAACAGACAGCCTACAGAAATAATCCATATCGAATTCTGGGAGATTATTCTAGAAATCATATATGCTGACCTTCAACATGCTGCAGAATTCCTTACATCACTGTGAAATGTGCTTGAATGTTGGAAGACATCACCTTTATCAATTACTGTTAATATTTGAGAAGTACAGTGCCTTTAATGAAAACATTTCTCGTGCATGGATGGGACCTCTACGTGGTAGCACGTTAATATTATTACTAGAAGAAATTTTTCCCACTCTGCAAACAAAGAGTGATGAGACCACAAACTAAGGGCTGAACCACTCTCTAAACTGTGCAGCATATTTAGAATAAAGTTTCTTACATACAATGTAAGCACGCACGCGCGCGCGCGCGCACACACACACACACACACACACACACACACACACACACACGCACGCGCACACACACAACACTGTCTAACCGCCATTTATTGTTCCTCAATTTCAAGTTTCCCCTCATTTCATATTCAATTTCAATGATCCTGAATCAATAACTGCAACATTAAATTACTTCCACCAAAAATTTTTCTCAGATAAACTGCTCCGAAAAGAAACCTCAAATGGGAGTTCTGCACACGTGTGTATAGCAGCTCAATTTATGTCAAACCCTTATTTCTGTAATTTTCAATCTGGGGGAATGAAATTTGGTTTCCCATTTAGGTAAATATGGCCTAGCAAAAATTATGAAAAGGAAAAGAACAGTGGACTGCTTCATCATTAACTTACAGTATCTTTGCTTTCACAGAAGAACTGAAATAAAACTAGTAGGCATTGTAATTTCTTCTCAGAATTCCCCATTACAATAAGTTCCAGCAACTTAAGTACAAATTATTTGGTACTCACCTAGTAAGTTTGTCCATAACACTCTTTATTCTAGTTTCTGTGACAGCAGGCAGTAACTTCTGAACAATCTCATGTACAAACAAATCACTGATTCCTGGACTGGCACGTTCTGCTAATTCAAATGCATTCTTCAGCTCTTCAATTGCATCTGTCTTATGGGAAGACTCAGGACCACGTGAATTGTAATGATGTCGTCTCTGAAGCTACAGTGGCCCAAAACATGTGCCTTTGTAACTGTATTTTGTATGAACTTCATGACAAAATTCACAATCTAATACAAATATCAACACTCATATATCAAAACTTCACTATTTATGTAGGTCATACCGAAAGTCACGAGCAACATTTTTTTACATGCAACCTGGGAACAGCAGATGAAAGAGAGTATGGTGGTAGGTGGAACCAGCTGTTGTGTTAACCTTGAGTGTCTTGTGATGTCAATAGCTTGCATCACGTGACCAGTATCACTCCTAACAAAATGGCCGACAACCATAAGTTGTTTCACCAGCGTGCTGTCATCAAATTTCCTGTGCAAGAGGAAATCCCTGCTGCAGAAATTCGCCAGAGACTTCAGCATGCTTATGGAAGTGTGTGCATGGGTGCAAGCAGTGTTCAAAGATGGGTGAAACATTTTAAAGATGGGAACACCAGTATCGAAGATGAACCTCGGAGTGGTCATCCTTGAACAGCCTCAACTGAATGCAACAAGGAAAGAGTGGATGAGATCATTCAAGATGAGAGGCATGTGGCTGTGGACACAACAGCCCAAAAACTTGGAATAGGGAGCAGTACAATACAGGAGATGATTGAAAGCTTGGGCTAAGTTTGTGCTCGTTGGGTCCCGCGGTTATTGACCGAAGACTACAAAGTTCAGCAAAAAGCCATCACCTCAGAACTGCTGCAGAGATATCGACATGAAGGCGATGATTTTTTGCTCTGTATTGTGACAGGTGATGAAAGCTGGTTTCACCATTTCAAGCCTGAAACGAAACGGAACGGCAGAGTATGGAATGGCACCATTTGCATTCTCCATCAAAAAATAAGGCAAAGACAGTGCCATCAGCTGCGAAGGTGATGGGCACAGTCTTCTGGGATGCAGAGGGGTTTATTCTGGCCGAATTCCTGGAACCTGGGCAAACCATCAGTGCTGCTCGTTATGTCCAGACGCTGCACAAGCTCCGCCGTGCATTGCGCAATAAACGTCCAGGACGAAACATCATCCTGCATGACAACGCTCACCCCCACGCTGCTCGCCTCACATTGGAAGCAATTGCAAAGATGGGGTGGGAAGTTCTTCCACACCCCTCCTATAGCCATGATCTGGCACCTTCCAACTACCGTCTTTTCGGACTTGTGAAGGATCAGCTGCGTGGACAACGTTTTGAGACAAGGGAGGCAATTCAGAAAGCAGTGCGTCAGTGTCTTCGGATGGCTGGAACGGAATTTTACAGAAGGGGAATTTTCAAACTCCCAGAAGGCTGGCAGAAATGTGTACAAAGAAGTGATTATGTGGAAATATAAAGAAAGGTCTGTAGACTGAGGTGGTGTATTTGGTTTGTCAATAATAAAGCATGTTACTTTACAAAAAAATTGTTGCTCATGACTTTCAGTATGACCCTCGTACAAACACAAAATTATCTCCATAAGTTTCATGAATAGCTTACTCTTGACTACTTGCATCAATGGATTGGTTGTAATATGAGCATATATGTGAGTGCACAAGTGTGCATGTATTTTAAAGCACATCAGCATCAAAGGCTGTGTGCCTTACTAAAATTCAAGCTACAAATAGCATTATTTAAATCACTATAAAATTGGATAAAACTACATATCTGTAAAGATGGAAGGAAGATAATATGAAAACTGATCTTTGAGGTGTGAGGCTGTGAACTATTGTCACATTATGATGAATTTGTTGAGGATCACACCCAATGACAAGGTTTGTTGAATTTTTAAGGTTTATTACAAATTTTTGTTCTATCCTTGTGCTCAAGCACCATGCCATGAAGATGTATGAAGAGGTGGAGCACTAGATGGAACTGGAGGCAAAGAGAAAACTTCCTGACTTTGCCAGAAACTGAACATTGGTCATAAGCCTCATGCAAGAAGATGAAAAATACTCACTGGGCTACTTCAGTTCAGGTATGTAATAAACAAAAGCACCTTGCTGTTTATCACTCACCTCTGAAATAAGAGGATAGATAACACCAGACAGACATGGGGACCGTACATGGCTGGGTTTGCTGCTGCTACTATTGCTATTTGTGTTGCCATCACGACCCCTCTGAACAGATTTCTTTTCTCCACTTTCACTAAGCTCTCCTCGATGATCCAAAGGACCAATTTCCTTTGAAATACGCTTTTCTCTACTATGGGAGTCATTAGTTTCCCATTCTCTTTCTCTGTCTCTGTCCTTGCGATTATCCACAACAGGAGCAGCTGGAGCTGTGGAGTGAGGTCGCGACTGAAATATAGAAAAATGTGACCACAATGTGACAGATAGCATACTACCATATCTCACGTCTGTAAAATGGCAAATTGTTATAACAGTATACTTAAGGAATGAGCAGGTTATCAACTTTCAACTTTCAAGGTATGAAAAATATAAACTTCAATTAAAATGGGCTAAAAAAAAATTACAGCTTATTTACCTGATTTCAAAATGTATTAAGTATCACATTATCTGATTCTGACACACAATTACATGATATGTACAATAATTAAAACACACATACACTATTTGTGACCACCACATTAACTTCACTGTGACCTTCTGCTTATTTACATTTTTCCAACTTTAATTTAAACGTCAACAGAACTAGGCTCAGGTACTAATGGCTCCACTGCTTACATTTATTTCAGTTAACTTCATGTACACATAACAACTGACAGAAGTTGCACCTACTGAACTGTGGGAATCTGCAAGATCGCTAATCTCATCCTTTACCAAATTACTTCCATGTTGGTAATCCTTCTGAAATTCACTTATGCCACTATAAAAGTGTCAAATATCCTTGTTCTAAGTATCAGTTAGAAGCTCTTTAATTCTGTTCTACAGATAATCCCCCTCTTAGCACCTTTCATCCTTAAGGCAAAAGTGGTCTTATGAGATCACCATGTTGTGTGTCTGTGTTCCTTTCTTCAATTCTGAACCAGCAGGCTAATTTTCATGAAACCTGACAGGAATGGAATGTCACTGGAGCCCACACTGGCTGGGACACGGGTATTTCACAGGGCTAGTAAAAATGGTTTTGTATAGTGCGTGGTGCTTTCTATAATAGTTTTAAATAAATTTGTGGACTTTGGTCAAAATGTGACATAGTGATAAGACTAGGATAGTGAATTATGTACTTTTTTGGCCATCTTGGACAACCCTGATTTAAATGGACTTTTCCCCTGTGAAAAATACTGAATAATTCTACATTTTTGTAACTTCTGCTGCCTGTTCCCCGCCTGAGGTAAGATTAGTCACATTTTATCACAAATTTTCATACTTTATTTATAAAAGATTTATTCAAAACTAATTCAGCAGAGGGTACTGAGAGTTACTTAACATACTAGCAGTGAAAGGGTTAAACCTATGACAACAATGATTGCAAATTACTCACATCTTAAAAATGTACTTCTTTCAAAAATTAAAAATACTTCTCTGTGTGAAAACTGGATAAGTGTATATACTAGTATGAATAAAGTAAACATTTCCAGGATTACTGTGCAATCACGATTTGTAATTCTAATAAAGTTCATCTGTATTTTTACACAGACTGTCAAAACTTATCACTACTACATGCTGCATATTTCCAGACTTTCTCTAGCTCCACTTTATTAATCACCAAAGTCTTCATCCTTTCTCTAAGCACATCACAATACTTACTGGTGCAGCTTTTTCACTCCTTTCACTCCTGTAGTGGTTTAGATTTGAATCCTTTGGAGGAGATTTTGTTTGTGGGGGTCCTGATCCATTCTGAACCTTCTGAGGTATCTTGTGGTTTGCAGGTTCATCATTAGGTGGTTTTATGGAGTGTGGGCCTTTAACTGTCATGATCCATGGTTCATCCAAATCACTGTCTTGTTTTGATTCTTCTCTGCAAGTACAATATATATTAAACACACATATATGTAAAATTATCCCTGTACTTAAGCACTATGCCATGAAGACATCCGAAGGAGTTGAGGTAGGTTTCATGCATGCTTAACCTTTACTGTTTTAGTATTTAAATGCCCTGCTTTCAGCCTTGGCCTGAATTAAAACATGGTTTTTAATTTCTAGGGTACTGAGTGCTGACAAAATATAAACTAATTATTAAGAATGATCCATGTGCCTACATGTGATGTTCCAAAAAATTAGCAGTCTTTATATGTGCAATTAGTGAATGGTTCTTAACAATTATTCTACGTATTTTGTTGTACTTTCTTCAAAATACAGGGAATTTGTAAGTTCACATTCAGTGTAAAAAATGGCAACTGTGCCACAATATTCTAAACAGTAATAAAAACTCTTCCTTTCTAATGTGCTGACCTCTGACTATGGTCACTGTTCATTTGGTACAACAGCCAAGCAAATAATCAGTTGCTATCCTTTTACAATTATAAACTAATGCTTCCTTCTAAGAATCTGATGTCTGGCCTGATTGCATTAACAGTTCACATGCTATTATTCAAAAAGAGGAAATGGCCTAACTCATATTCTCTTGCTGATGTATGTATGACACTTCTGTTGAGTTTTTAGTCATCTTCATGCCAAAGACAATGGGACACGCTGTAATGTAGTCGGTTGAGGCACTATGCTACAAGTCAGAAGGTCATGGTTCGATTCCCAATGAGGTCAATGAATTTTTCAATTGACTCAATCCTTCCAGCCACACTATGGCTCTGGGGTTGACACAGCCTCGAACAGAAATGAGTACATGTAATTTTAGTGGGAATAAATAGCAGCCGGCACATAAGGCAGACAATCTCACCACCATCTGTGAGCGGATTGTCTAGAAAATGTGGAAGCCTTGACATCTCAAAACCCTATGGGCCTCCACAGTCTGTTACAGACCAGCTTTGTTTTTTAAACCAAACAACAGATTTGTTTCACATAACATACCACCGATGCAGGGGTTTTCTCAGTGGGCTAAGAAGATGCGACATTTGATCCTCCAAACTGTACTGTTACCTCTGTTTCACATGAGGAATAACAAGGAGAGGCAAAATAAATGTATAAACTGTGAGAGTGGATTTTGTACTAGAGTTTTGAAGCCTGTCATACTAAATCCAAGCTATCATGTGTTAGTTGTATCTGACTGGAATCCCTGGAAACAGAAAATGTCTTGAGCATTCATAAAAAAAACTCTGTGGGCGTAGTATGCAAGCGAACTATACTAACCAAGCGACCACTGCTTGTAGGCGAAGTTAGTGCCAACTTTTATCGGATAGAGGGTGTCACGTGGTCAGCGCAATGAATCTACACAACCATTAATTTTGGTTTTCTAGACTGGGAGCGTGCATATAAGAGAATATTTTATTACAGGGCGGAGCAGAGAAAATTAAATGTTTTTCAAATGACTAGTACTCGGCAAGGGTGGGGTTGATGACCTAGGGTGTGAGCCAGCAAACAGCACAGACAAGGCAATTTCAGTAGCTGTGATGCACTGGAAAGTAGAACATTGTGTGTTTGTTGTTGAACAGTTTTTTAGAAACAGTGATTCCGTAGTTACTGTTCAATGTCTTTTCTGTCGAAAGTTCAATGTTGAGCATCAAGGAACAATTCCCGATCATAACACTATACTACGATGGGTTGAGGCATTTAGAACCACTGGATGTCATGAAGAGGAAACCACCTGGCCTTTCCAGTTCAGTACGGACCCTGGAAAATGTTGACACACTGAGAAGGGCAGTTCTTGCTAGTCCCAGACGTTCTGCTAGGCATCAGGCATTAGCTTTGGGCAGGTCATGTCGTTCACTACATTGCATTCTACACGAAGAGTTACAATTTCATCCCTACAAAATAATGATTGTCCAGCAGCAGATTGAAGGGGATTTTGAACAACGCAGAGAGTTTTGTGAGGAAATGCTCACCATTCTTACCGAAGATGCTAACAACGTGGTAATGATGAACGACAAAGCACATTTCCATCTGAATGGATTTGTGAAAAAACGAAACTGCTGGTTCTGGTCGGTGGAGAACCCATGAGAAGTACACCAAATACCTCTCCACAGCTCAAGACTGACAGCGCGGTGCAGTGTTTCTAAGTTAGGGATCGTTAGTCCTTACTTTTTTGAAGAGGGGGAGACAGCAGTTACAGCGACTTCGGCGTGCTACATCGACATGTTAAACAACTTCCTGAATTCAGAACTCCTAAGGTGTCGGGTAAACATGAGATAAATGTGGTTCCAACAGGATGGTGCCACAGCTCACACAGCAAAAGCATCAATGGAAGCTGTTTGACGCATGTTCCCCCAACATGTGATCTCCCGTTTCGGTGATGTTTCTTGGCCTCCGCACTCCCCTGATTTTTTGTTTTGTGACTTTTTGTGTGTGTGTGTGTGGGGGGGGGGGATACCTCAAGGCAAGAGTGTACATGAATAGACCACGAATGATCCAGGAGCTGAAACTTTCCATTCATCAAGAAATCTCAGCTGTGCTGGGAGACATGTTGGAGAATGCGATGCACAATTTTGAGGAGGCTCCAAATGCGTGCCCAGCAAGAAGGACATCATCTGACTGTCATTATTTTCTGTATGTAATGTATGTTAAAAATGCATTAAAATACCTTGTTTTTTGTGTAATTAAAAAGGTTTTATCTTGAAAATCAACAAAGTTATTCTTATGTGAAAAACATGCGTTTCCTCTGCTCCACCCTGTATTTGTACATTTTCTGCAGGGCACTGTGTAGTAATACCAAGAAAACCAACTTACAGATTTCCAAGCAGGTTTCAAACACAATATAAAGACCACAGTAAATTAGGCAAGTGATAATAGGCTAATCCCTCTATTAGATGGGGTGTTAGCTTCATGCTCCAGCTGCTCTGTTCCCACAGAAACAGTCCTTGGTTATTTACTGGAAAGGAGGCTGGGTGGGCCCACAAATCAATGTGAATGAAGTTGCAAACAGAAGAATCCCTAATGGAAATCAAACCCAACCAAACGAGCCTGTAGTCAATCACTTTACTGAATGAGCTATTTCAGCTCATTAACACATACTCACATGCACACATTGTGGAAAATATTTTGTTTAAGACTATGCAGTTGGTCATATTAACCAGAAAAGAGACTGTTGTTCTGGGATGTGCAAAGTATTAATGAACAGACTACATCCCGTTGTAGACTTGTTCAATTCCAAAACAATTAACAAATCATGAGGTCTGACATAATAAGACTGTACTCACAGGCAGCAATGTATTAAATTTTATTCAGAACTGTGGTGGTCTCCTTCAAAACAGTTCATTCCTGCAGGTTCATATGACCTCTATGGCTGTTTAGAATGGCCATCGTAACCTCTCAACTATCTTTCAGGTTCAAAACACGACCCCCTGAGATAATTCTTTAAGATAGAAAACCGGAAGAGGTTACACAGAGCAAAATTTGGTAGGTATGTGGGGGTGTACCAAGACCAAAATCAAATTTTCCATCAAAACTCCATGATGAACACCTTGTGTCATGGTGTAGGATCCACTCGTCAGGAAACAATTCTGACCTCACCTGCTGTCCCAGATGTCCCAAAACTTGGAGATAAAAGTTTTGGTTAACAGTGCAATCAGGTGGGACAACCTCTTGCTGCACAGTCCCTTTGCAGTCAAAGAAACAAATAAAGACAGTCTCGATTTCAGATTTTGACATCTGCACTTCCTTACTGCACAGTATGCCTGGAGGTTTCCATCGCATGCTCTGCGACTATGTCTCAGGGTCATAAAGAAAAAAAAACTTTCATCCCCAGTGATGTCTCTGTTCTTCCATTCCATGAATGAATAAAAAGGTCATGTTGAATCTTTCTTAAAATGTTTCTCACTTATTTTCATGACAAGCTATACCAACACCATTTCAGTTAAATCACAAAAGCACTGCACTCACTACACTGTCAAGACAAGTTTGCCACTATGTAAAGTTCAGACACATAAGCACCTGCCATCAGCTATAGACTGAATCATGCTTTGCAATGCAGCCAGTCTCATTTGTCAGACCTTGTAACTATAGGGATGATGAATACAACATTCCACCTAGGGACAGGAGGATGTGTAATATTGAAAATGTCATATTAAACTCTTCATTCACATATTATATAGTTCTGTCCACAGTAGAACTTGTTTATTGTCTCCCTTTCTCACTACATGTTTCGGTTGTATATGGCCATCATCAGGTGTCAATATTTGCTAAAACTGTGAAGAAAGCAGTCTTCTGGGATTTGGCACCATGTATATGTGGTGTTAACCGACGTTTCGGAGGAACGTATCGCCTCCATCTTCAGGGTAGAAGAAAAAATATAAGACACAGACACAGTCTGCTTTTACCGGTTCTCACGGTCTCTTCGCTTGCAGATTTCTTATATTTTTTCTTCTACCCTGAAGATGGAGGCGATACGTTCCTCCGAAACGTCGGTTAACACCACATATACATGGTGCCAAATCCCAGAAGACTGCTTTCTTCATAGTCACCGCCGTGAAAGCCTCAAATCTTACTTTGCTAAAACTGTTTCACATGTGATAGGTGAAGTTGCACATACTACATAGTGAAACAGTTTTAGCAAACACACACCCGATGATGGTCATACATGGCTGAAACAAACAGTGCAAAGGACAGGGAGAAAATAAACAGGATGCATTGTGGATGGAAGTACAATGTGTGAATGAAGTGCATTAATGCAACAGGATGCTTAAATATAATATTACCTTCACATTAAAAAATAAATCCTGTTAACGGAACCAAACTGCTGACAATACAGGCTAACTTACAGATCAGGATCATGTTTAGAGGGCAGTTCTCAGGCTTAACCTCTATCCTAACCATGAAATGGCTGAGGTTATATGAAAGAGTATTTTTTTCTGACAAAAATTGATTACAAAAATATAATCTGATTATTGAGGGAAAGTGACAAACAGTTTTCTCAACAGTACAGATAAGACTGAATTACACTCAACTCTCAATTATCCAGGGGCGGATAAACCGGTTTGCGGCTTAACCAGGGCTTCTTTGAGGCTTATTTGTTGTTTAATTTTCATTCACTTTTGTTTCACATGGTGAGTTGTAACACTATTTTCGCACTAGTGTGAACCGAGCTCTGCATGCTTTGGTTCCGTTATGCTAACACAATGTTCTAGGGTAGGGGTGAAAGAATGCAAGGATTTGTGGAAAGTTTCATGGACAGATACACCGCCCCAGTTAGTCTCTTTGTATCATCTTCAAGTGCGTTAGCAAAATGTCAGAGTGTAAAAGGAAGTGTGTTGTGTTAAGTATTAAACAGAAACTTGAAATTATCAATCAGTTCGGAAAAAGAGGCGTAGTTAAACAATTAGCAATGCAATACAGTATTGGAGAACAAACTGTTCGTGATTTGAAAAAACAAAAGAATCAATTAATCCATGGATTCACTGGATTCAGTGAAAATGAGATAGCCATAGAAATGACAAAATTGGCTAACCAAGTTCATGGTGGTGAAAGTCAACGAGGAAAATATAAGAGAGTGGTTTGACTGTCACTCGTGCAAGCTGGGCTTCGAAATGTTAAGCAGTGACAAAACCATAAGTTCAGTGGGGGTGCAGCCAGAAGAGCGGGAATAAAGTGAGAATGAGGAATAGGTGGACAGTGCTCCTAGTTAGAAATATCACATGGTGCTGCTCATAATCATTTGGAATCCTTACTAGACTATCTTGAGAGTGAAGAGAACAGTTTATTAAGTGACAAGCTAATATTACATAGGCTTCGTACAGATATCCGTAAAAAGGAAAATGCCATGAAGAAGAAAACGACAATATTAAAATTTTTTAAGTGTTAAGTGTGAATATTCGTAAAAAGTGTTGGATGTTGTTGAACACTGTGATTGAAATAACTAATTCATACTTCTGTGTAATGTAAAAAAAAGTATTAACTAGGCCATGAGATGACATAAAAATGAGGTTGAATAAATTTAAATACAGGTAAGCCTATAGTATTATGAAGGTACAGTATTACAGTACTACTTTTAATAAAATTTGTCTTAACCGGGTTTTCGATTAATCGTGATTTCCATCCCCACCATTATCCCGGACAATTGAGAGTTGAGGGTAACCGTAAATTTTTGTTACTTCAATTTTTAACCTCTTCCCCAACACCTCCACACTTTTCACCAAGGCAAATTCTGAGAATACTCTTATGTAGCCAGGAATACAGTAACAAGAACAGTAATTCTGGTCTCTACAATAAACTATTTTCATGTGCACCAATCTGGGACTTTCAGTTTTATATGCCATCGACTTAAATTTATTTTTAAACAACATGGATACCATGGGATACTTACGAATCCGAATTTTCTGATTCTGTTTCACTTTCTTCACTCCTCTGAGACTTCCACTTTTTGTACCGATCTATAAGATCAATTAAATATGAATTTTTCTTTGCTTTTCTAATAAAAGGAAACTTGAGCAATTCTTTAGCTGTGGGTCTCTGAAATTACAAAAGAAAAACGCAAATTATAAAACAATGGCAAGATTAATTTCACTTAATTGCCTTTATAAACATGGGCTTAACTATTCCTACTTTACTATTCTGAACAGAAGACAGTCCCTAGATATGAAGAATAATTGTGAATATATTAATTAAGCAGTCGCAGAAAGCTGCAGGAGGTGGTCCTACAGTCTGGGAGTTAGATAGAAGGCCAACAACCTCTCAATAGCACATTACAAAACATTACACACAACCTCAAATTTGTACAGACTCTTGTAAACATGGTAATAAACCTTCTGGTTCCACAAAAGGCCACCTGAGCTTCTCAAAAGGTTCTTCTTATGTGGGGTGTTGTGTAATGTTGTTTTGTTTAGTTAGTTAGTTAGTTAGTTGGGAAAGACTACATGGTGTCATAAATCAAAGAAATCTGTCTGAATTCTCACTGTCACAAAACACCTCAATTCTTTTTGTGCATTTATATGAAAAAATGAACAACTATTACTCACATTCTCAGGGTCCTTATTGAGGCAAGCTTCTACAAATTCTTTAAACTGTTTTGTATAATTTCCTGTGAGTTGTGGGGGATTATTTTTAGGAATTAGGAAAAGTACCCTCATGGGATGAAGCTCTGAGTTGGGAGGTTCTCCCTTGGCAAGTTCAATGGCTGTAATTCCTAATGACCAGATATCAGCCTGAAACAAAACCATTCATATCTTAAAAGAAATTCAAGAAAATCTCCAGTTATCTGAAAGTCACAAGCACCAGAGAAGCAGGTTACTTGAGTTCATTCACAATATCCCCATTCTACTCTAATGTATTTAATATCAGACTGATACAGTCCCACTGTCCTTCAGTGATTAAGTTAACTACCTGTTTGTTTCCCAGGATGCTATGATCCCAGATATCTGGAGGAATCTTGTCAAAGTGCTTTCTATGCAGGGAGAACTTTGCTTAAACAATGCTGGTGGTTTGCTAGCTTTGGAGGTGATCTACCATTATCTTAGCCCTTCCACATGGAGCTCAAGTTTGTTCACCAGACCATCTGTGTCACATGCTGCAGATAAAAATATTATCTTCCAATGTGTGTAAAACAAATCCTGCCTTTGCCACAGTCATTAACAAGTACTATCTTTCATGGAAATACTTTTCATGGACTCCAAATGGCTGTGCTTTAGATAGCCAACTAAAATGGCTTTTTCTTCAGGGACATTTTTGCAAGGGTTATTAAACTTCGCACAACTAATGTGTTTGAACACAAGTTTGGAAAAATGTGTGATCACAAAAGACACTAAGATGCTAGCGGATCGAGCGCTAAACACAGACTGATGTAGCAAGCACACAATCCAAGACTTTCCCTCTCGTCACTCGTTATGCGAAATGTCACTCGGTAAGTGAGTCATTTCTTTACAATTTGTTTTGCTCGTTATGCGAATTACTCATTATGAGAGGTGCTCGTTAACGAGGTTCCACTGTATTTCTAAGGGCAAACTGTGGAGGACCGAGAATACTTAACAGATGCAAGTTTCACCAGAAAAATCTTTTATAGACATAAAACATGCCATACTGAAGAGAAAGGGAAAATACTATTTGTGCTGAATATTTCTACCTACGAATATGATCTGCACAAATACTAAAATGATTTTATCATAAATTTTCCATTCCAGACAGAGTTATTCTGTCAATATAACCCAAAAAGTTATGGAACAGAGAACATTTTTGAGACACATTATAGTCAGGGAATTCAGTAATCTGACATTATAAGATACTGTTAGTTAATTTCATGTGTATTCAAAGATTTTACGGTTACAGTTATACTGGTAATCATCAGCAAACTGTCATGTTGGTCTAATGGTACAATCTCATACCTTAGAGTCATATGCTGATTGCTTGATAACTTCTGGAGCCATCCAGAACGGTGTTCCAACAAACGTGTTCCTCTTGCTGGTAGTATTTGTGAGTTGCCCTGCCACTCCAAAGTCTGCTAATTTAACATCACCCATTTCACTAAGTAAAACATTGGCAGCTGAAAAATTGGAAAGAATATTAGAAATTCTACCATTCAGCATTGCATAATTCACAAAACCAAAGAATACATACACACAAACTTAAATATTTACAGCATACAAAAGTCATCTGGGGAACATGCAGTAGTGTAGTTGGTTGAGGCACTATGCTACAAGCCAGAACGTCACGGGTCTGATCCCCAATGAAGTCGATGGATTTTTCAATTGATCTAATCCTTCCAGCCACACTATAGCCATGGGGTCAACTAAGCCTCTAACAGCAATGAGCACCAGGAATCTTCCTGGGGGTAAAAAGTGGCCAGCATGTAAAGCTGACAACTTCACTGCCATCTGTGAGCCAACTGTCTAGAAAATGTGGCAGGCCATACGTCTCACAACCCTATGAGCCTCCATGACCTGTTACATGCATAGCTCTACCTTTTACAAATTTCATTATCACAACTCACTTCAATAAGAAATTACTTGGGAAATGCAAAATACAATATTCCCTCTACTTTCTGGGCTGCTAAGATCAATATGTCAAAACAAACCAAGTTAAGGTGAAGACTCGCGTGGCCATATGGAATTTCAGTACTTCCGTTTGTAGGACACAGCCAAAGATTAACACAGAAATCAGGGTTTGCTTGCCTCAAGTACATATTACATGTCAAGTGAAAGGCTAATATACAAACTGGATAAGGTATTTACATAATGTAATATAATGTAAATATGTGGACTGTTGGTATACAAGGAAATGAATGGTACAGAGAACTGCTCAATTCTATGGGGTGTCACTGCAGTCATATATCAAGGCTTCTGGCAGCTTTTCTTATTATAAAATATATACAAACAAAATACATACCATATCTTGGTAGACTTGAAAGGATTCTGACAATGGTGTATACTGTACTTCTTTTGGCTTATTTTGGACTTCACCCATCATCTAGCATATAAAAGACAAAAAACCACGACGTTTTGGAGACAGATCCAGTCTCCGAAATGTCGTGGTTTTTTGTCTTTTATATACCAGATGATGGGTGAAGTCCAAAATAAGCCAAAATACATACCATATCTTCCACAGACACACTTCTTTATTTCAGAGGAAGATGCTACCTAAAGTCTGTGTCTTAGTCTGAATGCAGAGAAATTTTCTCTTGCACTTGAAAGCATATTTTGGGAAAAACATGAATTTTTAAAATATCCCTAAAGGCAGCTTAAACATAGGCAGAATTCTGATTAAGTCAGCTGAATGATCTGCTGACATATCAATCTTACACAATGTTAATGTCAACAGAATAAACTATGCCACATGATTACTGAATCAAAACAATGGAAATAAAGAATTTCTATGATTTGTTTCTATGTACAAATGTGACTGCATCTTTTCTGTTCATGACTGTATCCATAAAATAATTTATAAAAAATATTAAGTCAATAAACAAAACACCTTTCAGTGATTTCAGTAACATCTCAGAACATTTCTATGGTAGGCAAATGTAAGCTGTCCCTGTGCTTCATTTGTTAAGTACCATGCCTTCGAGATGTATGGGGTAGTGGAGGTATAGCTCCACCATTCTTGACCTCAGCACTACATGGATGTGAGTGGTCCACTTCACATCCAGGCCACTTTATCTGTAGGGAAAAAGTCCCCTGTACCCTACTAAATAGGAGGCTGGGTGGACCCCAGAGCTAGTCTGGACACTGTGGAGAAGAGAAAATATCTTGCACTTCCCAAGAATCAAACTACAGCAGTCCAGCCTGTAACCCATCATTATACCAATTGAGCTATCCCACCTCTTTTTTGTGGCTGCTACAGGAATATAAATGTGTGATGAATCCAGTAACTCTGGATAACTATACCTTTAATATCTCTATGCAGTTTTCTTTCACTATGTAGATAATCCAGACCCTTGAGAACTTCTCTGAGTATAATGGCAATATGCATCTCTTCAAAATTTCCAGCTTTCATGAGATCTAACGCTGAACCTCCTCCCAAATACTCCATAATAATCCATAGCTTTGTACCCTAAAACATGACAAATAAATGCAGAACACACACACTCCCACAAACTATACAAGAGTGAGGGCTCAAAATAATAACAATAAAAAAAATTGTCATACTGTATATCCAGGAGTCAAATATTCAGTGCCTTAAATATGAAATTTATGTGTAACACATACAGCATACACTAATTTAATACTCTACAGCCAACTCTACTGTTATTATGGTCCAATACGCATGTGTATTTGTTGAAGTTTGTGTATAGCCCATCAGATATTATATAAAAACATACCTTAAGGAGAGCGACTACCAGGGCTTCAGAAAAACAACTTGCATTCACTCACCCATAGTCTCACAGTACATTTGATACAAATATTTTCATACTCCCCACCAGTCTCTGCGATGAAGAACCAAGCATAATTTCGGAACCGTGTCAGCTTATAGTGAGGTTTAATGATATTTTAGGATCTTCAAAAACATCTTTTTAACTGTGTTGGTTATGTAGCATAAAATGGAGAGTCGAATAACAGACTTCATCAAGAAGAAAAAAGTGGCTGAGGCCTATCTTAATACACTAGCCTAACATTTTCCTGGAAGAACTGAGAAAAATCATGAATAGCCATTATCTGGCTGCAACTTAAAATGAAATATATCCAGCAGAATCTACTTAATGATATATTTACATGCAACATTTCTGCTAATATCAGTTTAGAACAAATGAAAGTTTTATGACATAATTCTAAAGGTTTACCAAGGATGCACATAAAAAATAAAACTGTTCAAAACAAATTTTGAAGGTGAGTTTATAATATATGACCATATCAAATTCATCATGTCTATATATATGATTATCATTGAGAAACGTGAATGTAAATATAGATAAGGAGAGTAGGGCAGAAACCATTTATGGCAAAGCAAACACTATGTGTCATCCATTACTACATGAAGATATATAAACTGACTGAAGACAAGAGACAACAGATGAAAGCATTTTAACTGTGCACAACACAATACGCCACCGCCACCAGCACCATATTCTCCTCAGCTAAATCATGATGCCATACTAAACAGCAAATATCAAGTCAACGTTTAAAAAACAAAAATACTAACCTTGAGATATGATCCAAAGTATTTGGTAACGAAGGGGCTGTCACACTGTGACAACACCATGATCTCCTGTTGAATATCTTCAATTTCATCTTCAGCCTCTTCAAGGTCTATTATCTTAATTGCTACCACTTGCTGTGTTCTGTTGTCGATACCTTTGAATACTTCACCAAATGATCCTTTGCCAATTCGTTCTTGTTTTGTGAAGATCAGCTCAGGGTCCACCTTCTGGAACAAACATAGTGTTCTTACAGTACAGCTTCTCTATGTAAACTGCGCTCTGAAAGGAGCTACAGAAATTCACCTGCTTCTCTTTATGAAATAATGAAGGTCCATTACTGTGTTAATATGGGCCTGCTGAATCCAGTCACACACTCTGAAACACTAACCCCCTTAAGTACAGTTTCAGGCACATCATTAGCAACGTTCTTTCATATCTTCTCTTATGTATACATAAAACATATTTAATCACTCTGAATAACTGATAGTTTTTAACAGGATTTTAAGTATGGAATACTCTTCTTGGAAGCAATTCCCTACGCCACTCCGCACCTCGAGGCGCGACTGCGTTCACCTCCCTGTATGAAGGCCAACGGCGAAGCAACAACGACTCGGTGTGGTAGTCATGGCGGTGTAACTGGAAGGACCCTGGAGGCGGTGGATAACTTCGCAAGGATGGGTTCCACAGCCGCCCATCAAGTTGAAGCAAGAATGCCGGTTCAACCCTCAAGGTAGGTACCTGTAGGCGCGTCCACATTACTCGTGCTCGCGCTCGTCGGGAGACTCGTCTGGCTTTTATTTGTGCTCGTAAATCTTCGTCCACACTACTTCAGTTGCTCGCCAGGCTTCGGCGTGTGAGGATCCGTATATTTACTCGTAGTGTGTATAGGCTGTAGTCGTATTTTGATTTATTGACTATAGTTCTTAAATTAAAAATTTAAAATTTGCTTGTCTCGTGACTTGTCATATCGTTCACATTACTCGCGAGTATAGCGAGTCACACGAGCACGAGTAATATGGACGCGCCTTAACAATGACCGGATTCCGTTGGTCGCAGAAGCACACTGAAGGAGCCGTGCCCGAAAAGGGGCCATGGAACTCGATACGGGCACCGCAAGATCGGAGCAACTGGCAAACGAGACCCAACCCACTAGAAATGAGGGCTGTATGCCGTCGATACAGGAAGCAGAAGAGCCAGAGCCAGTATGGTGGTATTGGAGAAGAAGCCATGCATGGAAAGTACAAGAAGCTTAAGTTGGAGGCGGTCAGGCCTACGATCGCTCAGCTGACTAACTGCAGTTTCAGAGTAATTAAATGAAGTATTACCTGCTGCACAAACTTGCATCGACAGAAAACCTGTATGTCTTGTGTAAGTGGTACTTACCACAGTGCAATGACAATGGCGTATAGTCCACAGAGACGTGGATACACTCGTGCTGAAACTGCAATGCAACCAACGAAGCACCTATATAACAAGACACACCTGTCCCTTTCTAAATACGTACATGTCTAGGACTGAACAAAAATCTTGGACATGGATCTCGAGGAGACTGATGCCAGGAATGACTGTGCTGGCGAAAGCCGAAGTAATTTAGCGGTCAATCAGTCTGTTGTTAGTTGCTAGTGAGCAGTGGAAAGCTGTAAGGAATCTACACTGTTAGCAGCCGAAACCTTGCAACGACTAGTGATGACAGAATAACAAACAGAGGGCTTTGTATGTGCTGTAATTGTACTTATTTTGTAGTCTCTGCATATTAGTGTGTCAGTTATCATTTGCAGTTACGAGTTATATGAATCAAATCAATCCAAATCCCGTATCCAGTCACTAACACATGACACTGGTCAACAGGGCTCAAATTACGTTTACCGCGTAGCGCAAAACGTAAAAGTGAATGGGCCTACGGACTTAAATGGAAAGATCTGTATTTAGTTCGATGAAGCGGCCTCCGTAGTCTAGAGGTAACGTTCCCACCTCATGACTCGTGGTACGCGGGTTGAAATACCCGGCGGAGGTCGTGGAATTTTTAAGGGCGGAAAATTTCAGGGAACAAGTCCTCCGGGAGGGACTTTAAGCCGTGGGTCCCGTGTCGTAGCTTCACGGCACGTAAAAGAACCTCATATTCCCAAAGGAGGTCACTGAGCCAAATTCAAGGACGTTTACCGCCCAACAGTAGTCTCTAACGCCTCTGATAGATGGGGGAAGCATTATAGTACCGCCAAGTCTGTAGAGGCCGAACTCGCTGGCTCGGTCGGGACCGATGGTACGCAGCAATATCGGTCGGGTATAGAGACTGGCAGAATATCATAGAGGGAAGCACAATGGACCAATACTGGTCTAAGTGCATGGGGAAACCCACCCTCTCCAATAACTAACTAACTAGTTCGATGATTCGTCATGAAGATAAATGTTTTCTACTTTGAACGTTAAACACTGGCATTTTAAACATAATTCAGTCTTCTTATTTTTCTGTCAGAATGCATGCTGAGTAGGACCTCCATTTTCTTGGATTATGGTCTGAAACCGTCCCGTCAAAGGCTTGTAACTCCAGGGACGGAAACTGTTCTGACTTTAGTACACTAACTATACAAGTCTGTTCCAAACATGACAATCTAATCTTGAGAACCTGGCGATCATTTTGGATTTGACAAATTCAAGCTTAATGGTCCGAAGCCTTCAAGGAACGGGCAATGTGAACGTAAAAAAGCCTATTTTTAAAATTCAAAGTGGAAAATATTTTGCTGTGTAACGAATAAACCTAACTGAATACATCTTTCGATATACAAACTGATGTACGTTATAAGCGCCAGCCGGTATACAAGGCCGAGTCACTTTTTGTTTACTGCAAAGAGTGAACCTTCACTCATTTCAATAATTTCGAGAAGTCTGAAAAGGCTGACACGCTGATGGAACGCACCAAAGAAGATTCGCGATTGTGTGACCCGGTATTATGGTCAGAGTGGCATTCTCGGGAGAATGACAGTTCAGAGAACGATCTGCTAGGATGTGACGCAGTATAGTTTGGTACATAGGTAATAAGGCTTCGAAGATAACTGCTGGCTCCAAATACTTCAATTATATTTGGGCTAGGCCTTTTCCACATGGATTAAATGAATACGGAATGATATGTCGGTGTTCGATTCCCAGCAGGAACTTTCTCCTCAGCACCGCGTGCAGACAGGCTCTGGGGCCACTCAGCCTATCTAATGACTACCGGAGATTTTCCCTGGAGGTAAAGCCGTCGGGTTATGCAACTGATCATTCACCTCCATCCACTGCTGGTGTTAAGAATTCGTGGAGCTACAGGACCTACTTCCACCCCCATACTTAAAAATTTGGCACTTATTATTATTATTATTGGAGGGGGTGGGTTTCCCATGCACCGCGACAAGTTGTTGATCTATTGTACGTCCCCCTTTGATATTCTACCACTCGCCATACCCTACCGGTACTGGTGCGTGCTATTAGCCCCGTTCAGCCAACGAGGTCGGCCTTCGGTGCCTAATACTTCCCCCATCTGCCAGAGGCATTGGAAACTACTTGGGCCGGAAACTTTTTGTCTAATTTAGCTCAGAGGTCTCAGAGACATGAGGATCTTTTACGTGCCGTAAATCTAAGACACGGGACCCACGGCTTAAAGTCCTTCCCGGAGGACTTCTTCCCTGAATTTTTCCGCCCTTAAAAATTCCAGGACCTCCGCCGGGTTTGAACCCGCGTACCTTGAGTCATGAGGTGGGAACGTGGCACTTAATTAAAAAGATATGGGCACACAAATACTTGGCAGGTGTAACAGTGCCGTTGGATTTCCCTTCCTCCGGAAGGTGATAGTCCACCTTAAGACATGTTCTGTTGCATTGTGCGACGGTGTGTTATCCCTCGGTCACTGAATGCTCTAAAGTGAATGTCTGTGTACGTGCAAGTAGCACCTACTAAACGGAAAACTTAATTAACTTCCGGATTCGCAGTTGAAATTAGTTAGAACGCCCGCATATGGGCTTTCCTTGTATCAGCTGGAAGAGAAAAATAATAAGGCTCAATCCAGGATTTTCATTTAGTATGTTCCTTGCGTTAAAGTGGTATAACGACTGGCTACGGGCTGGACAGCCGAGGGGTCGGAGTTCGAGTCCTGGTAGGGTCAATAATTTTCTCTTCTCCACGTCATCCAGATCGGCTCTGTGGTCCACCCAACCTCCTATCCATTGGGTACCGGCGACTTATTTGACCGAGAGTAAAGCGGCCGGGGCGTGAAGTTGACCATTCACTTCCAGCTAATGACGAGTTCAAGAAAATGTGGTTCTATACATCCACTCCCCCCATACGCCTTCATGGCGTAGCGCTTAATTAGTTAAGCACAGGGACAAATTTACCCTTTACCTTGTGTTAAAAGTAGTTTTAACAGAATAAACTTGGAATAAAGGCAATAAAACGTCTCTTAGCTCTCCCTGATTCAGACTGGCGATGGGGAATTAATTTTACGTAGTGCCGGATGGGGTCGTTTATAACTGACCGGGGTGGGTGTGCTTCCTGACAAAAATTCTGTACTTAAAAAGCCGTTAAATAACTATGAATTGTTAGCACTGTCCTGAAGATGGATGAAGAACTTCATTATCTACCATACTGCATGGCGTCAAGTCCACGAAAACCGTTATCTGAATCTCACTGTTGTGAGAACGTTAAATACCATGTGACGCCAGTTCACTGCCTAGATAACCGTAGAAACCAGAGGATAACTCACAAATTGGAGACAAGATTAAAAGGAAGGCAGACGAATATTATCACCGATGTGTGCTCTAGGCCACCAGAACAATCAGCGACGATAACGTTCCATCTGATACGTGCAACATTCACCTAAAAGGATACGCAAGAATGGCTTAAGATCCAGAGGAAAACTTTAATTCTGGCGGAGTGAAGGAAACCTGGAGACCAAAGCATTACCTACAGTTATAAGACATGTATATGCGATTATTCTGTAGAAACTTAAAATAGTTTGATCTGTACTTACCATCAATATTAGCGGCCTCCGTAGTCTAGAGGTAACGTTCCCACCTCATGACTCAAGGTACGCGGGTTCAAACCCGGCGGAGGTCGTGGAATTTTTAAGGGCGGAAAAATTCAGGGAACAAGTCCTCAGGGAGGGACTCTAAGCCGTGTGTCCCGTGTCGTAGATTTACGGGACGTAAAAGAACCTCATGTCTCTGGTGGATGGGGGAAGCATCAAGGTACCGGGGGC